ACTGACGAGCCAAAGAAGAAAGTACGAGGAGGTGTGTATATATATTACATTATATTTATACATAAAATGGTGGCTCAGCACATCCCTGTGCAGGCGGGTTTTAGAGAAAAATGTAATGATTCAAATGGCTAATTTGAACTTTGCTAAAAGCAGCTAAATGATGCCCCTGCCCTACATTAAACTATGCTGCTATCAAAAAGGGCAAATGCCAAGTACTTGTGGTTTTACAGCTTTCAAATAAATATTGCTCAACCTCATAAAAAAGAGCATGAGAACAGTGAGTGGATTTTTCCTTTTCTTGTTTGTTTATTTCCAATATGCTTTACAGGTAAAGGGGGCATTGCTGTTGCTCCTTCTCAGGGTGTCTACAGAGCATTCAGCTGTGAATGCTGCTTGACCTCAAATCCAGTTAATTTGGTTTGGCATGCTCTATCTCAAAAGGTTTTATGGGCTGGCAGATAGAGCACCCTGGCAGATCTGCCTTGGAGCTGCAAAGTTCCATACCCAGCTGAAACCTTCTTTAATTCAACACTGTCATTTTTAAATAACAGTGCAATTGCAAAACAAATTGGCAGGTACTTATGAACTGAACGCTGCCTGGGGCTCTGTCTTTTCATTTTGCTGACCAGTGCGCCTGGTCTTCAATTTAGAAAAGCACCCAGTAGTTAAAAAGCACTGGTGAAACCTTGTAATGCAGAGTTAACCTCACTGTTCATGGAGAGGCGGATGCTTGCTCTGACTTATTGATCCTTACAAACTACTCAGCTTCATGGTGGAGGGCAACTTTTAAAAATGAAAGTGCTCCAAACTGCCTGTTACAGCAACCACCTGGGCACGAACCTTCTTTCCAAGGTTTAAGCATTCTGCCCCATGTCCTGTGTGAAGCTTCAAGGGATTTTTGAATATTAAACTGGAAGTCCTTGTTGGGTCACCGAGTCCCAGTTCTCCGCTGTCTTGAGCAACCACCTCACGTGTTCTATTTCCTGGACAGTAGATTGCATCAGATACATGTGGGCCATCTCTTATAAATCAATATAATTCTGCTGAAGCTGATCTGTGAAGCTCCAGCTTTTGCTGTGTGGCTTTTTAAAAGTCCTTGCTGCTACACCTATACATCTGCATTGCTGTCTCCCTGAGCATAGTAACCAGAGGCTGAACAGGATCTTTAAAACAAGTAAAGGCATTCAGGTTATCTCACAAAGTCCTGCGTTGGCATTACATGAAGCCCTTAGGTTGTCAGTCTTCTATCAGTCCGTCTAAGAGTTAGTCAGTTTATCTGCCTGTAAGCCAAGGTGATTTGTAACGATATGGCCAAAAAGCCAGTAATTAAGTGCTGTGTTTGGAATGTTGCCTCACATGAGCTTTGATGACCCAATGGAAGATGGAGTTTTCACAGGTTGAAGTCTTCAGCTGGTTGTCTTGTAGGATAGAACTCAGAAATCCCAATTCTAGCATCTTTGCAGACATTTCAGTTGCCATGGGCCAGGATGATCCAAGTGTGGATCTACGAGAAGGAGCATCTCAAAACAATGTAATTCTCCAACATGGTCATGTGTCATATAGCGTGGGCCTGAACTGTGCTGTGTTTAATGGGCATCCTGTTTCACACAATTTACTCTGCAATGCAGCCGCAGAACAGAGGGTGCCTTGCAAACGCTGCGAACATCTCCAGTCACAGGACTTTGGGAGTTACACCACTGAGGGGTGATGTTGAGCTGTGGGGACAAGGGGAGTATATCTATACATTGTGGGTTTCCACTTACCTGTGAGCTCTCCAGACCTTAGCAGTCACTGTGGCCATGATAAATCCTGTTGTGGGTGCTTGAGGATGGTGTATTTTACTGCTTAGGTGATGCCATCACTTCCTTAAGGGAGATCTGCACAGGACATTTATGAAGACCTTTACTAGCTAGTTAACTGAAGTAAAAGCTATTGTAGTCTTTGGGCTACAAGTGATCTATTTCTGAACATTGTTTGGAAATGTATCTGCCATTATTCTCAATGGAGATGGGAGCATAATGAAATCTTCCTCAAAAAGTTTCACATAAAGCACTAGGAACTCTAGCACTGGACAGAAAAGGCAAGGATAACACAAAGGACTCTCCTTGCCTCTTTTCTACCAGCTAAGGCCACCGTTTGGAAAATGGCTTGAGAAGTCCCTTTTCCCAATTCACAGCATATATATAAGCAGTAAAGACTTCAGTCGGAATACTTCAGCTGGTTGTCTTGTAGGATAAACAGAACCCAGGAAGCCCAAAGGAGTCTCCAGAGTGTTTGAAAGTCCCTAGTACTTGCTGCTGGTACCTATATTTATCCCTAGAACTATATGGGATAAGATACTTTCCCTGTTCCAAAATAACCTCACTGTGTATTCATCTTGAGTGAATGTATCTTCAAGAGTACTGATTTTTCAGATGGCCTTTGTTCACTCTAAAGGACAATTGCATTTAAAAAATAAGAGAGAGACAGGCAGACTCGATAGTTCTTCCTCCAGAATAATGGCCTCTGTAGCTATGAGAAAAGGCACTCAGCTTGAAAGGAGACATAGAATTTCCTGACATAAAAATATATGTGAATAGGGGATATAACAAAAAAAGATTCTAGTTGTTGTCATTCAGCAGGACAGAAGTGTTTGTGAGAATATTTGTGCAAGAATTTTATGGCTAGGCATGTAGAATGTTGAGGTTTTGGTCACCTGGTGTGTACTTGTCGTTTTGCCAGCACTGAAAGAAATGTCTGGATATACTTCTTCATTAATTCAGTCATGTTGGTCCTTGTAATCATGAAAGTTCATGCAGTGTGTTATGACTCTGAGAAAAGTTGAGGAACCCACTGCTTTTTAAGGCAAAATCTTTTGTTTCATGGCTTTCTCAGAAATGTGAATCATCTAGCGTTGGGTGAGTGTTTTGGTCAGTTGTCTCTGCACATTGACCAATTCAGCTGATTTATGGCCACATGAAGTCTTCTTGAAATTTCTGGCTAAGTGCCATAAAAGTTCTAAAACAGTCTTCGAGGTTTTGAGTCCCTCTCTTTCTCCTCTAGGGAAGGGAAGCTTGTATAAATGTGGTTATTCTGGGAATGCCTATGGTTTTAATTTCTCTCTCAAGGGGGTATAGATGTCTTCCAAACCTAGTATTGAGAAAAAGAGCCATAGGAATATCTCATGAAAGAAGATACAGCTTGGGAGGCTAGTCTGCATTTTCTCTTTCTGAAGTTTTTTGAAGGAGAAGATATGAAGCTGTCTGGAAATCTGTCACCTGGACACTGTCTTTCATTTACAGGAACCTTTTTTGCAAATGAAATATTAGAAGATAGAGAATTCATTCCAGTGTACCCACACTGAGTGGGTGGAAGAGGTATGTGAAAATTAAATGTGTTGTTTGGAAGCTTCTCTGGATGCTCCTTGCTTTCCTGGGGGGAGGAAGGACCTAGAACTGTTTGGTCCTATCTTTTTTTTTTTTTCCCCTTAATTTGCCTCAGGAAGATCTATCTACCATTTCTGTCTAAGCAGCGTGCTAACATGTATCCAAAACCAGCTCTGTTCTGAGGGCAGGCTCGTACTTGCTGGCAGGTAGGATACAGAAACATTCCATAGCTCTCAGTTTTAGGCTCTATTCACACTACTTCAGTATTCCCTTTTGTGCATCTTACATGTCAGGCATATCAGCACACATCAAAATGATTTATTTTTGCAAGTATCTCCCTCAAAAACCTGCTACCACACACACTCATTGCTTTTCCCATCTGACAGTGTGAAGCTCTTCAGAAAGCCCAGCTTTGGAGCCAGGTGGTTCTCTTGCCTTGCCTTATCAGGCAGTGAAACTATTGCTTCCCTTTGCTTTGAGAAGAGCCAAAATGCCCCTGTGGCTGCTCCCCTGGTAGGCTCAAACCACCTCATACTGTGAGGAACTCTTTCCTTGTTGATGTTCTGAGTGTGACACCAACTGACATACTGAAGAAGAATGAGACTACTTGTGCTTTTGGGAACATTTCTCCAAAGGTTGATCAGTTTGCTGTTCTGGGGCTTTAGTCATAATGTGGAGACATGGGCTATCGTGTAAACAAGGGATCAGATTGCTCTAATGGAATATCATTTATGAACTGGAGAGCTTGGCTGCAGATGAAGAAAGTGAGAAACATAAGAGTAACAAATACCCAGGTCTTAACAAAACGCTGTTGTTACTGAGGTTGGCATGCTTAGCTATAAATTGGGTCAGCGATTCCCTCCTGGCCCAATCATGCAGAAGGAACTAAGGCACTAGGTAGATGGAGGTATTAGTCTCCTGCAGTCTTAATGCTGAAAGAAAATTGTACAGCCTGTGTTCTGCAGGGCAAATGATCCTGATTTTCTCTTCCATTCTTAAAATCCAAGGCACTGACCTTCTCAAATGCATGACTCATCTATTGCCAGGAAGGTGAAAGTCCAACTATTAATGACTTGCTTCATTGTATACAGTCTTCAAAGCCAGACCTCTGCAATCAGCTCAGCTGAATGCTTTGGATGTCTTCCCATCACTTGATCCTAATCGTGGGTCTGCACCTGGTCCAGCTTTCTGTTTGGGACAATATGGTAAAAATTTATTGTTGGACTTTTTTTTTTTTTTCTTTTAATTGACTTCTTCTTCCCCTCTGAGTTAAATGAATGCTTTATAGGATGAGAACTGAACAATGTCAATGCAATGAATTGTGCAGGAGAGCCACAGGAATGGCTCATATTCAGGAGAAAGCAGGAGTATCCAGCTGTGTCCTGCTTGCTTACTTAGATGTCTTTGGCTGGAGGCGTGATGTGTGATTCAGACCACCCACTCTAGGCTCTGGCTCCGTAGGTTGTCAAAGGGGAGAAGAAATCATGAACCCAGCACATCCCACCTGTAGAGTGCCTTGCGCATCCTGCTTCACTGACTACACAGGCGATAGGCATTTGGCTGTCCTGGGCACTACCTGGTTTTATGTGTTTGTCACTTTCTTGACCTTAAACACTTAAAACACCTGAGGTATGACAGGATGAAGTTGGAGTGCACCTTGCCATGAGCACTCCCTATTGGCGTTTGCCTTGCCATTTCTCAATTTTGTCAAGGGCAAACTCTACCTGGCCTTGAGGGACCATTTCTGGAGGTAAATCTGCCTGAGGCAAATCCAGGCAGCACTTCAACTTCCTGCACACTTTTTTGTCTTGGTTGGTTGGTTTTTCCATGTTTTGTTTTAAACTCACCTTGTTTGGTTTTTTGTTTCTCTCTTTTTTTTTTTTTTCAATTGGGAAAGGTATCAGGAGGCATGGGGAGACTGAGAAAGCACTTTGGAAGTGATCCCCACACTTTATTCTTTAGCCTGTGGAAGTAATGGGGACTTAGACCTCCATTGTAAGCATCCCTGTGCACTTGCAATTGAAGTGAGCAGCAGAGAAAACTGCTATAACAACTGTGGGCATGAAGGAAACCTGCAGTTAAAGGCAGCTTATCTGTTAGGGCTTGCCCAGCTGCTGGTTATCATCCATGTTGCATCTGGCTTTTCACAGTACATCTGTTTAGCATAAATAACAGGTTTTTTTATTGGAGTCCTATGGTACATCCAAACAATGAACAGAAGAAAAAAGAGAAACTGTAAATAAATTTTACAATGTCAGTAAGAGCATTCACACTAAGAGAAACTATTTTGAGTGAATGCCAGTTCTTAATAGATTGCTATTATTCTGGTGTTTTTACAAAGACCACAAGGAAAAAAAGAAGAAAAAGCCCAGAAACGGTTGAAAAATGGAAACACTGAGTGTCACTGCTCAATCACACCTTTTAATAATAAATACTTCTAGGATGTTCTCCTAGCAAATTGGTGCCAAGATCGTTTTTTATTTTTTCTTTGGGTGTCTATCTGAAAGCCAGTGGCATAAAAAATGACCATGAGTCAGCTGGCTGAGCTCCCTGTCCTGAGTGCTCCCTGGGCAACTGTGCTTCAACCCATATTACCAGAACTGGGTCTGAGCAAGCTTTCTGGCACTGTGAGGCTCACCTGCCCAGCCCAGCACTCAGCAGAGGTGCCCGCACCGACTCCAAACATACAGGCTCTGCCCTCAGAAGGAGGAGACCCCTGCTGCCATTGCTTACCTGATGTGCCACGCTAAGGACCAGCAACACTTCACAAGACAGCAGGTTTTGCTAAGGACTTTGCCCACAGTCTTAATTCCCGGTTATTGACACCTTGTTTGTTGTGATTTCTCAGAAATGGGATCTTACAGTCCAGTTTACCAAGAACTCTGCTCAACGATCCAAATCACCTTGGGGATAAAACTCACCCTTTCTCAAACATTATCTCCTGGCTACTCCTGGTTTACCTCCTTAGGGCCCCATGGACTTTGCAAGGAAATTTCTAAATCTCCGTCTCAGTGCAGCTGCGTGGCAAACCAAAGCTGTGGGCAGCACACTGCACAGTGAGAGCAGTCTTTTCCCACAGAGTCCCTGTTGCTGAGCATCATGGGGATAAGAGGTTCACCTTTCAGGGGTCCCAGAAAATCTTCTTCTTTTTTACCTATTTTGAAACTTTTTTAGTGATCAGTCTATTTTATCTGTGTCTGTTTTAGAGGCCCTGTGTGTTTACCTCAGTTAATTCCTGAGTGCAGGGATTCTGGGAAGCTGAAGTCTCTGTCTGGTATCTCCACACTTAGGGGAGACTTTCATTGCTAGAAAGCCCCCAGCACCGTAGGAGTGGGGTACGTAATGTGTGGCTGTCTTGGAAATCTTACATTAGAAATATGGATGCCCTATCTGGTGTTGGAAAATCAAGTGTTAGGCTGACCATGAGAGACGCTGATTGAAGGTCATGGCCCAACAGGCAGGCACAAATAGGGGTGTATTGGAAATAATGAGAGAGGAGGGGGCCCTCAAGCCACAGCATTGCCATCATTTGCCCTTCCAAGATTTGCAAGCCTTGCAGATACAATAATCACAAGGGGTATTGCTTCCTTGTTGGGCAGGATTTCCTGGGCAACACGGCTATGCTCCTGCATGGCGGTGCAGTTGGCATTAAGGTCTGGGGAGATCTGGTAACCACAGACGAGAAGTTGGGCTGTTTCCAGTGCCTATGTCACTGGTAGCTTGGGAGGACCTTGCCGTGCCATCCTCTCTCTTTCTGACATGGCGTCTGGAGTTGCACCTGGAAAGTCTGGGGTTTGTGCAGAAAAGGCGGGCTTGCCAACAGTGAGAGGGCTCATCCCCCAGGTTCATGAGGAAGCCAGCTCTCCTGGTCATGGTCTGCTGTACCCACCACAGTCTGCCAGCCAAGCAAGTGGGCCTGGGACCTGAACAAGCCCTTTTGCCTTTTTGCACACTCTAGAGGTGCTTTTAGAATAAAACAAGGCCAGAACCCAGTGAGCCAAAGGGAATTAGAGACGTTGTATGTGCTTGTATCTTGCTTTGCGGGGCAATTCTAATGAGTAATTGGTTGCTAATTATATGTGCTGCTTTGTGGTGAAACATCATGGTACTTTGATATTGACCAAGAACTGAAGGTTTCTGTTGTGCTTACTTTTGAAAAACTTTTGGCCTGCTGATCTGTATGGGGTATTTTGTGCCTGATTAATCTAATGTATTGTCTTTGGTGAGTGTTGATTTACTTGCTGAATTCAAGATTGATTTTAATGAAGCTCTTAGTGCATGCTGGTTTGGGGACACAGGGTGCCATGTTATTGGTTTGTCTAGATTGCTCACTGTTTTGTTAGACTTCAATAAGAAAACTTCTGGCATAGAGACAGCTTCCCACTTCCCTACAATTGAGTAGACAACAACAGAGCTTAAACAGACAACAAACTTTATTAAACTCACATGTACATACATAACAAGTAGAAACTTTAGAGCAAGCTAGTCTGACCCACGGGGCAATAGCAACAGAAAGTATGTTCTTCTTTAACTCCCAAACCAGGTGCAATCAGGGAAACAGCAACTACAGCTGAAGTGCCAAGCTGTACATCAAAAGGGAAAATGAAATGCAGACATCACTGAGGATATTAATATCTGCTCTGTTCTTCACCACCAGTGTTTCCCTACATCCTTTCTCTTTTCCTACATCTGGGGCAGGATGTTGCCATCATAGAAGTCTTCCTAGAAGAAGGATAGGGAAAAAGCTCAGAGTGCTGGAAAATTCCTCATGGAGCAAATTGTAACCAGGGCATAGACATAGGATGCTGCTAGACTTTCAGTGTGAAGCCAGCCATGGCTCTTCATGGTGCTACGAGTTTGCTGTGAAGTTACTGAAATCCAGAGGGCTTGCAATGGCATCACAACCATGACTACCTGTGGCGATGCAGCTGAAGCTCTGGTGTTTGTTTTTCTTTTCCCTCTTCAGCAGGATATGGCTGTGCCCCCTGGATCAGCAGCTGCATGTTTGGAAGAACATCCTGCTTGGACAGAGCAGAAGTTAACTAGGGCTTTTGGAGCTGGTAGTGGTTACGCTGGGAGTAGACCAAGGGGAATATTTACTTTCCAGTTCCAAACAGGAAACTATAAGTGGATCCAGCTTACAGGGAGTGTGGTGTGGGAGGACATACAGAGACATGAACAGGGAGAAACAAGAATGCTGGTGGAAGACTTTTCCGCCCTTGAAATGCATGGCCACAGTTAGCCCCCATTAGCAGTGAGGTAAATCACAGCTCCATACCTGGAGAGCACCTGTGAACTGCTCTTACCTTGGGAAATGGCATTTGGCCCTTCCAGGTTAGACAAGCGGGTGGTGCTGGCAGGAACGTGAGCATCAGTTCTTTCTCATTTTTCAGAGAAGACACACACTAACTTGTCATGCTCTCTTTAATTTGATTTTGTGTGACAAACAAGCCCAACTGTTTAATGTCCCGTGGACAAGAAAGAGAAAGCAATTGCTACGTTATTTGAGGGGAAAAAGCCATTTGCTTTGCTTCTGTAAGCAAAACATGAATTGACACTTCCAGGGTTCAAAGGACCACAGAATTTTCTACAGTATCAGTTTCCAGAATGCTAATGTTTCTTTTTTAGAGAGATTTAATAGCAGGATGAGACAAAAGGATACGCAGCAGGCCTGAAAGGTCCTTCCTCTCCTGAGTTGTCCCCATCAAGTCAATGGGTAAATGTCTGTGGAAGAGGACCACACTGAAGTTCTGTTGGTAGGTGAACAGCAATGCTTACCAAACAAGGCACCCTATTCAATCTGGTTTCAATGATTTAAAACTGAGTTAGAAAATGTGAATCCAGGCAGGAACTTGGCATTTAAATTGAACACTTGAGATGACTGAGCCTTTTTTTCTTAATGCAATTTAAAAAAAATTATAATCCTGAGGGATGTGAAAGGAGTTAGAGCATGGAGACGACATGAAAACAGAGTCCTTTCATATGCTGCTTGACATTTCAGTAATTCTTCAAGCAGCATTTTTGACTGTTTTAAATGCAGTTTTCTTAGCCAAGTTTGCAGCATGAGAAGACTGAAGTTTAATCTTTTCAACATACACAGTCTTGGTATAGAAATAGCTCTTTCCTATATGTTTGTGATGTCCTAGTGTACACATATGTACACCTGGCTTCAAGCCTAGATGATACTAGCATCAGAAAAGTTCCAGCTGATGCAGTAACTAAGGCATTTGGCTATGTCATGGCCTCAGGTGATCTTGAATGAAAGGGATATATATATAGAGAGAGAGAGATAAAAATGAAAGTGTAATTTACATATTGGATATTTACAAGCTATAGGATATATACATAGCATAGATAAAAAGTAAGTTCATTTAGGAGTGTTTCTAATGATAACCTGCTTCATGATTAACAAGATCAGCAAAAAATTCATGAAAATTTTCTTCTTAATAGTGCTAGGAAATAATGATTAATGTAATAAATCTGTATTAATAATAGAGATCTGACATAGGCATCAGGGGATTAACCTGGGCCTCGGAAGCTCTCTCTTCATTTCCCTGCACTCTTCGACGCTTCTTGACTGACTGCTGATAGTATCAATTCAGTATTTGGTTATCTGACTCTTGTTAAAATCAATGGTGGTAATGTTTGAGTGTGCTGCCAGCAAGTGCAGGAGTGAAAAATATTCAAGTGGCTTTTCAAAACTGTGGGCTGAGATACCTAAGAAACATTTAGCCCAGAGGAGCTGATGTTGCTGATCTTCAAGCACCTAAGTCTATGCATTCAGCAGTGGTGATGAAAAAGCCATCTTGCCACCACCCTCTTTCCCAGATACCTCTCCACTACCATCTGACCACTATAGGTGCACCAAGATCCTGTACAGCTCTCCCATGCTGCAGCTGGGGTTAACTTCACTCCCCAGTCCAAGCCGAAGTTCCTCAGTAGAAGTCTTGGTTTCACCACTCTAAATGGCTGCCATACATCTGTTATTACTGTTATCATTTGTTATTCAATTTCCCCTTGGTTACACCTCTTATTTTCCCACCTAAAAATGGTGACTTGGTAGGTTCCAAGTTTTGCTGAGAGCTTCCAGCTGCCTGGCTGTCAACACTGAGAGCCAGAAGGTGCTACTTCTTTTTCACTCATGGTCATAGCGTGGATAAACACAAAACCTTCTTGTGTTATGGGTTGAAATCATAGTTATGTTTTGTTTTACCTTCTGCACCAACTCCATAGAAGCTGTGTAGTGTATCTCCATCACTTCAGTGCGCAACGGATGGATCTAGTGCTTATGTTCTGTGTGTAAGCACTCCCTGCTGTCAGGCACAGAGTGGATGTTGAAGCAACTCCAGAATAATGTTGATAGCTCTAATATTGGTCAATGGCTCTGAGGTCATGTTCAAAACACAGAGCATGAAAAACATCTAGGGTGGGAGTGCAGATGTCTTACTCATACCCTGTGCAGCTTCTTGGGCCCAGGCATTCAACTCTGTTCCTCTGAGTCTCAGTTCATTTGCTTTCAAGGCCATCTCCCAGAGCCATCTAATTGTCCCCAGGCTCTCTGCAAGCAGCCTGTATGCCCAGGCTCTTGGGTCACAGCAGGAGGGAGCACACAAGCTCTCAGGGCCTCGAAGGGCTAGCTGTGACCACAAGGAGTGGCAAAATGCAAGAGTTTTGCTATGTGAGCAACATGCACGCACTGTACTGACTGTTCCTAGTCACCGAGGACAAAAATTTCCCCATCCTTGGCTTTCTCCTTTCCTCCGCACTGGAGTGCCCGTGTATCTCGGAACCTACAGCTTCAAGTAACACTCCCAAAGATCTCCACCAGTGAGCTGGGTGGTCAAAGCTGTTTACAAGAGTCATATTGTCTGGTTCTGCTCACATGCTTTAAGTCCAAGGCTATTCTTCTTCCTCTTATCTGATCACAGTTCCCCAGCTGTGCAGTATGTGCCACATACAAATTCAGAGAATGTAATTTGTTTTGTTGAAAAGCAACCCATGATACACTCATTGCCTCTTCCTCTTTCAATCCACACTTGCTCACAGTGCCTTCCTTGCCCCTTAATGCTCTCTGCTCCCTTGGCATGAGCATGCATCTTCATTTTTATCCCACTTTAGGTCCCACTAATAACTCTCTCACCAGTGCACCATGAACGCACTGGAGGAGAGCACAGGGGTGGTAATTCAGGGCTGTGGTGCAGCCCTGAATCCCTTTGCAGCTGCAAGGGGATGCTCAGATCATCCTGGCATGTCAGCATGCTGCTGGCAGCTGTGCACCATCTACCAAAAACAAGTAGCCCTGCTGGCATTCAGCTGTGCTGCTAGTGCTCTAACACAACAGTATCATCAAAATGGCTATTTGCAAGCTTTAGCCGCAGGCAGGTATCAGTTGTGCTGCAGTTGTTTGCCACTTGAAGCAGGATGGTGGGCTCAGAACTGCTGGTGTCCCAGCTAATCTTGCTGTGCTGTTATCAGTATCATATGTGGCTGATGGGAGCTCTTGTGAGAAGTCACCCTTGTGCAGCATGATCTAGTAACTCATAAAGTTACCATTGTATGAAGAAACGCATTTGAACTGAAGCTTCAGAAGGACTTGATAGTGAGCGGAACATCTGGCCATTAACTGTGATCAAGCCATTGAATTTACTAACTTTCTGCATCATGGAAGGATTTCTTTTGCAGTTTTTTGACATTTAGTACTAGAAAAATTACTTCCTTCTGGTGAACTTTTTAGGTGATGAAAATAGTGGGAAGCTTTTGTGAACTTTGAATCAGGTACTTAGTAAAGACAATGGTCATAGTAGTCATCTGCCCTTAAACTCAACTTCCTGACCTACTCACCTCTCTGTAAGACATACATTCCCTCATGCATGGAGGGCTGGATAGATATGGCTCAACTCTTCCCCTGTAGCATGACCCAGGCACATCCCAGCTGTTGGTAATAGGAAAACTCAGCTCATTCAGCCTCTTTGGTCATCTGCCTTAAATGCTACCCATGTGAGCCTGAAGTATCAGTGGGGTTTGTTTAGCTGGGGAACAAAAGCAGGGATTGACAAAAGTAAATTTTACCCCATTTGTAAATGCATATGCACTGGTGAGTGTGAAACTGGACTGGGGTGGATAAGCCCTTTTGTCTTTGTTTTTATCCACATGCCTTATCTTCCCCTGAATCCCACAAAGTCCTCTTTGTTGGCATGCCAACCATTGCTTCCTGACACACTTCTAGAAATCCCTGCTGAGTATATATTGTTGTCTTCCTAAGAAGGTACAAGTGCGGCACTGCAGTTAGAGTCAATGTGTACATATGCATGGCTACTCATTAACCAGGGCTATTTTAACAAAACTTTTAACTTCATCTTTGATTGCATCAGCTGAAAGGTCAAAAGAAGGTGCAGAGAAAATGAAAAGCATGTAAAAGGTGGAGTGGCTTTGTGTTGTATTAAGGGATCTTCTATGCCTTTCTTGTTATGTAAAACCCATCAGAAGGAGGGGGGAATAAACAAAAGAATTTTCTTCTCAGCATGTGCTGGGACCCAGCACAGCAAATAAATGCATTGTTAGTTGAAATCAGTGTTTTGGTTTCTCCCTTCCTTTGTGAGATGCTGTAGAGGAAGCAGATTAAAGATTGCCAGCTTTCTGGCAAAATATACTGGTGGCATCATAATGACTTCATTATGGCCTCTAAATGAGCTAACAGACTAATAATGTGCTCAGGAAAAATCCCACATTATGAACATGCAAACAGGTGTATGGTTAACCCCTTCTGTGGCACCCCTTGTTCTGAATACAGCTACTGCAGCTTAAGCCCCATTTCAGTGCACTACTAGCTGGGCAATAAAGGATTCAATTCAACAGCTGTGTGCCAACTAATTGCAGCTGTATTTTCTTCTGAGTTCATCTACAATGCAAACAACATGGCAGTTGTTTGTTTGTTTGCTTGGCTGGGCTGGCTGAGAATGCTTCTGCAAGGTGGAAATACCAGCACAATGGTGCAGAGGCTCTGCGAGGCCCTGCAGCTCAAACCTCCTTTTACTAAAAAGGCTTTCAAAGTGGTTTATATGACATACCCTTCCTTTGGGTTTCCCTTATTGCTTTACATGTTGCATAAAACATGTTCACTGGAGGAAACGAAGACTGAACAGTAGGCCAGATCCTTCTGCCCAAACTAATCCTCTTCCTGCCTTGCTGATGTCTCCTCCACCTCACCTTCGGCATCCCTGGGCTCTTATTGTTCTCATCACAAGTCCTGTAGCCCTCCTGCCCCCTCATCTCTGCCTTCACCATTTCTGCCTCTACTCGTCTCTTGCTTAAGTCTGTTCATAATTTTTAATTTCTGAATTATGTAAAGATGATCCAAAATGTCCTTGTTAGCTATATATAGCTCTTCCATGTTTTCTTTTGAGGTTTTTTTGCACATAGTAATGTGGACATTATGGTTACAGAATGAGAGCATGGAAGAACAGGATACACAGGATGTTCTGCACATGCTTGGCAAAGCCAACATTTCCAAAACATGTGGGACTTTTATTATGTGTGAAGACAAGCTATGAAACGTGTTCAGGCATCACTGATATGGCTCAGAAAACTGAGCTCTATCTGCCATTAATAATCTTGTACAAGTATCTATTGCTGTACAAGTAATCTTGTACAGTAATACTAGTCAGGACCTGTTAGTGTATGGTGGGGTGTACTCATATATTTGAAGTATCTAGGGTGTAAAACAGTCTCTTATATCTGTTGCCCAGGTCTCCCTGCA